CGGTAAGTAATATAACACCGTAGATAAGGTGGTGACCACCTTCCTCAACTCACTAACACTCTGGAACACTATACAGCGTGACCCAGGCAGGCAACGGGCTGCCTGGTCCCAGACGATGACCCAGGACTTGAGGAGCGATGATGTCGTCTTCACTTCGGGGTTGAACAGCCCCGCTCTGCATTCACACCCCGCTTATAACCGCTCCAGTGTGGCCGGCTCCGCCCAGGCCACTCCTCCAGCCTTCGTATGGGCCGACACAGTAGTGACGTCCTATGTCACTACACAATTAAAGTGAGCACCACAATTAACACATACACATTATCAATCAGTAACAGAGCTGAAACCAGCAGTAGTGTGCCTGTCTTTTTCTAGACCTGTCCAAAGCTTTTGATACAGTAGACCACAACACCCTGCTTAGTAAACTAAGTTGCCTCGGTTTTTCCAAAAACGCAGTAAAATGGTTACAAATTACCTCTTTTCTCGCACCCAAACTGTATTCACACATGGTTAGAGGTCAGAGTTAAGATAACAAAAGGGGTTCCACAGGGTTCCATCCTCGGCCCCCTTTTGTTCTCTCTTTATGTCAATGACTTGGGCACTGACCTGGATCATTCCAGGGTAAATCTTTTTGCAGATGACACGATACTGATTACTGCTGGCCGCTCTCCAGATGACGTGATTGCTAAGCTACAGGGTGATTTCAACAAACTACATCAGCTAGTTGCTCTTAAACTAGTCCTGAATACCTCCAAAACCAAGGTGCTATGCTTCTCACCAGTACTAAAGCAGGAAGTTATTTTTCCACAATTACATTCCTTAAATAATTATCAAATAGAGCAAGTCAAGATCTATAAGTATCTTGGGGTCATCCTGGATTCAAAACTGAATTTTGAAGATCACATTGATTATATTGGTAAATAGACAAAAATAAAAATTGGTTTTCTGTATTGACACAAGCACTGCTTCCCCCCCAATGTTCCGATTGGAATTGATAAAAGCTACCATACTGCCTCTACTTGACTACTGTGATATCATATTCTTAGTTTTTTCGGTAAAGTCACGTTGAAGAGAAACAACAAAATAATAAAATATATATAAAACAATAAAACATTCTCACGACGTTTCGACCATAACTCAAACGGTCGTCTTCAGGTGTGTTGGTTCGCATAAATTTATTTTTAAACGGCGCATTTATTTATTTATAAAAAACGTTAGCGCCACGCGCAACGATTTGGCAGTTTGCCCAGGACTAGTCCATCTATATTCTGAAAAGAGGAGGGGGGAGACGAATTTTTTTATAATGTATGCTGTCTGAAAGCCACTGTAAGCGTGAACAATCAATTAAGACCTGAAATGGTTTATCAAATCTTTCCAATGATTGCTAAGATAGAATCCATCTTCTCGGTTGAAATTGTCTCTGTGCTTGTATATGTGGATAGCCTCATGAACGAATCTCTCATGGAAGCCAGATGGCTTACAAAGAACCTCTGTCTTGGAAAAGTCAATGGCATGTGAGCCTACTGAATTAGAACAATGATCTGCCACGGCCGAGGTGTTGGTCCTACCGTGTTTAAGGTCTGCTTTGTGTTCACGAATGCGGTCCGAGACATGGCGTTTGGTTTCTCCAATGTAACTACTACCACAGAGGCAACTTAGTTTGTAGACACCAGGGTATTGTATGTCCGGAATCACATCTTTTACAGACCGAACCAGATCACGGATTTTATGTAATGTGTTGAAACGGACCTGGATCTTGTGTTTATTCAAGATTTTGGAGATCTTTTTTGTGATCTCAGCAATGTAGGGTATTTAGGACCAGTCCATCTATATTCAAGGACTAAACACTGAGGTACCCCCCCTGGTGAGACACTGTTTAACCAATACATACTTCACTTGGAATGGAACTTTCTACAAACAAACTGAGGGCACCCCAATGGGCTCCCCCCTTTCTCCAGTTATAGCTAACATTTTCATGGAGAAATTTGAGACTGACGCCATCTAGACTGCCACTCTGCGCCCAACCTTATGGAAGAGGTACGTGAATGACACTTTTGTCATCTGGCCACATGGCCGGCCTGCTCTAGACCAATTCTTCGACCACATCAATTCCATACACCCAGCCATCAGATTTACCATGGAAGTTGAAATAGATGGCAAGATACCTTTTTTGGATGTCCTAATTAAAAAGAGACCTGATGGTTCAATGAGCCACTGTCTACAGGAAAGCTACCCATACGGATGCTTATCTGAAACCGGATTCCCACCACCATCCATCACAGAAGAATTCTCTCATCAAGACTCTATATCATAGAGCCCAATGCATATCCGACCAGGAACACATAAGCAGTGAACTGAAGCACGTACACCAAGCTCTTAGGGCTAATGGTTACTCCGACTATACAATCCGCAAAGCTATCACTCAAACCATGAAGAAAAACCCTCTTGAGGAGCCTTTCAAAACCATCACTTTACCCTACATTGCTGGGATCACAAAAAAGATCTCCAAAATCTTGAATAAACACAAGATCCAGGTCCGTTTCAACACATTACATAAAATCCGTGATCTGGTTCGGTCTGTAAAAGATGTGATTCCGGACATACAATACCCTGGTGTCTACAAACTAAGTTGCCTCTGTGGTAGTAGTTACATTGGAGAAACCAAACGCCATGTCTCGGACCGCATTCGTGAACACAAAGCAGACCTTAAACACGGTAGGACCAACACCTCGGCCGTGGCAGATCATTGTTCTAATTCAGTAGGCTCACATGCCATTGACTTTTCCAAGACAGAGGTTCTTTGTAAGCCATCTGGCTTCCATGAGAGATTCGTTCATGAGGCTATCCACATATACAAGCACAGAGACAATTTCAACCGAGAAGATGGATTCTATCTTAGCAATCATTGGAAAGATTTGATAAACCATTTCAGGTCTTAATTGATTGTTCACGCTTACAGTGGCTTTCAGACAGCATACATTATAAAAAATTTCGTCTCCCCCCTCCTCTTTTCAGAATATAGATGGACTAGTCCTGGGCAAACTGCCAAATCGTTGCGCGTGGCGCTAACGTTTTTTTTTATAAATAAATAAATGCGCCGTTTAAAAATAAATTTATGCGAACCAACACACCTGAAGACGACCGTTTGAGTTATGGTCGAAACGTCGTGAGAATTTTTTATTGTTTTATATATTTTATTATCTTGTTGTTTCTCTTCAACGTGACTTTACCGAAAAAAATAAGAATATGAATTACTGCAGTCACGAAAGCTTTAAATCAAAATTTACTGTGATATCGTGTATAAATCAGCCCCAAGTACTGTACTGAAGAAGCTTGATTCCATCATTAGACCTCCTTTGCCAGTACCAAAATGTAATAGGGGTTTTGCCCTTTTTTCTGGCAACAAAACTGAAACCTTTTTACGAGGATTCATGTCTGCATTAACCAAAATACCTGCAGTCAAAATGCAAATAAAAAACCTACTATATTATATATGCATTGTCCTTGAAATTGATTGGTCCACACCAAGGGACGGCTTTCTTTTGAGCCTCGACCCAATTGGTGCTCGACCACATGACGCCAGAAGGCGTACAGCTCAAAGACAATGCACTATCAAAGTAATGAGGGCTCGGGGTGAGCATCTACATCATTAGACCTCCTTTGCCAGTACCAAAATGTAATAATAGGGGTTTTCCCTTTTTCTGGCAACAAAACTGAAACCTTTTTACCAGGATTCATGTCAAGGATTCATATCATGAATCCTTGCAAAAAGGTTTCAGTTGTTGCCAGAAAAAAGGGGAAAAACCCTATTACATTTTGGTACTGGCAAAGGAGGTCTAATGATGTAGATGCTCACCCCGAGCACTCATTACTTTGATAGTGCATTGTCTTTGAGCTGTACGCCTTCTGGCGTCATGTGGTCGAGCACCAATTGGGTCGAGGCTCAAAAGAAAGCCGCCCTTGGTGTGGACCAATCAGTCTTATAGTATGTTTTTTGTTTGCATTTTGACTGCAGGTATTTTGGTTAATGCAGACATGAATCCTTGTAAAAAGATTTCAGTTTTGTTGCCAGAAAAAAGGGGGAAAACCCTATTATTAAAGCTTGATTCCATCTATCACTCGGCCTTAAGATTTACATTGAACTGCCCATATAGGACTCACCACTGTGATCTCTACATTGGGTCAAACTTAACATCTCTTACTTAATGTTCGACGGCTTGTGCACCAGATACTATTTACTCACGATGTACTTACAAAAAAATCCGCAGACTACCTGCTGGATCTCCTCTCTGTTTCAAAGAACAAATTTGACCTCAGGTCTTCGCTCATTTACCAGCTTCACATTCCCTATTGCCGTACAAAAACTGGAGGATGGGCCTTTGCTATTGATGCCCCCAGGGTCTGGAATGCTAATGCCAATAAACTGCAACTTGAATCGCTACCAGTGAGATCTTCTCTCAAAACTGCTCGAGAGGAGCTGTACACCCCTAGCTGCCACTGCTATTCATTGGCGTAAAATGTTTCGCTCCGGATAACGCTGCAAAGTATTCTGTATTTTGATTTAGCGTGCTGATCTTAAAGGTGCATTGAAATATTTGATACTCCGACTGTTGCTTGTTGTTGTGGAGTAACTCATGCAGCCAGCCATATGGCTCTAGGATTTGGTGTTACATGTTATTTATGTAGTTTATTGTAAAAATTCGGTCACAGTCCCTATGATCACTGTTACGTTGCAATTATTGCTTTATTTTTTGATGATTTCGAAAAGTTTTTTGGTTTGGACGTTTGTTTTGTTGTAGTATGTAGTTAGACTAATGGTCTTAATCTAAGTTTTCTTGTGGTTGTTGTTGTTTGACTTGCATCCCACTGGGATTTTTTGCACACAGCGTTGATGTACGGTGCTTTTTTCAGGAATATCTTGCTGTTTTTTTCATGGATTTTCTGTTTGCACAGTCACATAGTCACTTTAAGATGTTTTCTTGTTCGTGTTTTTGTTTGTTGTTTGTTGTGGTTGCACCCGATTCAAGAGCCGAATGGCTCACAGGGCTATACTAAAATAAATGAATTGAAAACGTTGCTCAATCGCACTTTAATGATCTGTTTCAACATCCAACCGCAAACACTTGTAAAACTGAGCAATAAACAGTAATGCATAAACTAAGTTTTAAGCACTAACAACAAACTATGCTCTTCACCAGGGCTTACTTTAATTGAATAATTTCTGGATCACTGGTATACTCCAGTAAGGTATGTTGCTAGTCGGCACAGCCAGAGTCAAAGGTATACTGGATGTGGTGTGACGGGTGTGGAAATATTTTCTGGATCGCCAACTGGGGCAGACCCAGCTGTAATCGATCTCTGATAACCATCTGAACAAAGAAGTACATTTTCACATCAACTACACACATGTGGCTTTTACATTGTAGAGCAGTTGCAAATAAATATGCAATGAACTGGCATTAACAACAGTCATGCTCTGTGTGAGCAACAGATTTTCACATCAAACCTGACCCAAAAATAACAAAGCCAGCGGCAACTGGTCGATCGGGTTTGTGGTGGGGTCCTGGCCCCAACGCCCCATACAGACCGGCAGTTACAGAGCACAGACTTCATAGCACACTCGTTCTAACAGCAGACAGCTCATCGTGTTCATTAGACACCTGGATTGATCATTAACTCAGTGAGGGTGGCAACAAACAGCAGATGGATTGAATCACACGCCCACCAGCACTTACAACCCAAATCCCCGACGCCCTGAAATACACTCGGCACCATAACGGCCTACGATGAGCAAAGTGGAGTCATATTTTGGCTTGGGGAGGCCTTCATCCAGCAGTCCATTAACCGTGGCTGATGATGAAGAGGACTAGTGGAGTAAAATTAAATTAAATGTTTAGTTAGCAGCATTGGCTGCTGATTGAACCGGTGCTTGAAGAAGAAAGAGCCGCATGCTCGCTACTTGTGTGCTTGCTCGCAACTTAAGAGCATTCCATGCTGCTGGAGGACTGAGTTGAGGTATGATCAGCGTGTTTGGTTCCTTCGCTGCATAGGAAATCCCAGTTGTCTGGATTATTAAACAGGTCGTTAATGTAGTACATGGGACAGAGTTCAGAATTCTGCACCAGCAGAACCTTCTTTGGATATGTGAATATCTGACAGCCTTCACATCCAGTGAGGTCACCTGTAATAAATAAAGTTGTGCGAAAATGTGAAAGGGTGTGCAGATTTTGCAAAGAAATTACACATAAGCTAAAATAACAATGTAATTTGTTTATGTACACTATTAACTGAAAATGTAATCAGGCTGTTCAATGTGAAAGCTATTACTTACAGTCTCGCGATGGCAAAATAAAGTATTTAGTGATGGGGACATCCCTGGGTTTAGTGCCAGACTGAGTCTCACTGTGGACAGGTGTCTCTTGGGCAAAACCTGTGGACATAAATGCCAAACATAAAGACCTAGAGAAGACATTATAGCATTCATTGTATGGGGAAAAAAACGGGATGCATTAATCATCCCACATTCATCACACAGATCCGACTGGTTTTGACATTTAATTATTGAGTAAATCGACAAATGAATCAATTGAATTATGCTTGGCTGAACTGATAATTGACGTGGTGACTCGGAAAGGATGTTGACCATAAAGAAAGTTAACACCAGACGAGAAACGTCACAATATGTGAGAAATAAATGCAAAAAGTTGTATCTAACACCGAAAGAAGTCCACCATACATACATACATAACAAGGGTTATTTAGGAACAACATGCCTATTCACGAATTATTTTTACCTAAACCATGTAAGCACTAATGGCGAAGATGATAAACCACATACAACTGTAAGCCTGTGTGTACTTTATTATATTAATACTAAATGCAATCCAATTCACAAGCCTTAGACAAATATATAATTTCTCCCCTTGCTTAAAGTACGTCAAGTCGCCTTCACAAGCTTAAGCAAATATACATTACAGAAAGTTAAACATTAACATTACACTTTGTCCTACAGTTTTTACAATCGTTTCATGAAACAGTACATATACACAATAAGAATACAACAATCCATCGACAACCGCCGCACGTTACACTCCTGAATAGTAAGGCATATGGGAAACCGTGGCTGCAGTTGCACTCGCCAAAGCCAACGTTGCCTGTTCCTACGCTAAACACAAATGAAATACGCAATAACATAACAAAAAAAACAATAAATGTTCAAGTAGCATCATTAAAAACGATAAAATTATGTTATTTCCCTTTTATACTGAGGGATGAAGTCCATGGTAATGACGTTGAGGTAACAACGGGGGAGGCGATTGTTCGAAGGAAGAGGGGCTCTGCCCCCCCCCCACCTGGTGGTGGGAAGAGAGCGGTGGCGGGAGCTGGGAGACGAGAAGATGCACGGAGGGAACACATTGCGGGGTGATTTGAAATTACAAGTGCCAGCCGCCATGCTCAACCGCGAATACACAAAACTCGGTGCCGCGGTTGGCAAAGTGGTATGCCGCAAGGATACGGAAATATCGCGGATGGCGAGGGGATGCTGTAATAACATATCGATGCTATCAAGTTACTTCCTTAAGCAGCAATATGTAGTGACTGTACTTGTCACTGTATGGTGCCGGGCTTGCGAAGTCACGGCCGGTAACGTTGTGATTAAGGGCAGCCCGGGTTATGGGCTGCAGTACCAACTCTAGCGGTGGTTGGGTGAGCGCTGGTTAGCGCGGAGGCATCGCGAGCAGAGTGCGGTGCGGGCTCCCATTGAGGGAGCGAGGGGGAGCGTCAGCCAGCCAGGGTTACTCTGGGGCATGACACTCTGGCTGACCTGTTGTCACGTGACCGGACGATACTGGAGGGGGGCCACCGGTGGACGGGGGCCGAGGGGCGGTCACGTGGTTCTGAGAGGCTCTCGGGAACATTCGAGAAGGAGCTATAGAAGCCTGGAAGGTGGGCGGGGCTGAGGGCGGAGCCAGCCCCAGCCCGGGAGCATATAAAGAGAGCTCTGTGAGGAGCTCGGGGTTCTTCAAGTGTTGGTGTTCGAAGATCCACGTTGGGGAGAAGAAGCATCTAGCCACGCGGTCCGGGACCCAGTTCGTGGTCCGGACCGGGATAGCGAACCGTGTCTAGTTCTGCCGTAGCGTGGTTAGATGGGCATTCGAGACCCGAGCGTAGGTTGTGTTATGTTACATACTGTTATGTGAATAGTGTTGCTCCCAACATAACGTCTGCGACTCAGTTGGACTCACTACAAATACATGGCATTGTATTCACAACATAATTCAATACGCACGAGCAGCAATGTTTGGTGTATTCGATGTCGAAACAGCGACTGCAATGCTTGGAATCGCCAGAGGTGCGGATGGGTAGTTTTCACGTTTAGCATAACTTGACATCATTCTTCCCTCGTACAATACCTGAAAGAAGGTAATTACATGAGCAAGGCTTCACAAAGTAAACCAAAGCAATATTAATATTGACACGGTTTGCACCATGATCTAATAAGAGCAAACACTGAATGTGTGTGCGTTTGGGGCGATGCCGATGGGATGTTGACAAATTCTTAAGTGCACTGGGATTGAATGTCACATGTTTGGTACCAGACACTTAATATTACTCATCTCAAAGCGTTTGGTCTTGCTTGTGCTGCAAGGCTCTCCGATGTGTTTTCGGGTTGTGCCGTGTTTGTATGCACGGTAGGTAGACAACCATGCTAATCGGAGGTGTGGGGGAAGGACTACAAACTAAACGCAAAAAACAGTTCTAAAGAAATGAGTTTTCAATATCTGTGGGACCTTTTTGCCAGTATCAAAAATGATGAAAGAATAACAATAGCTTTACCAAATTTTGATTTAAAGCTTTCGTGACTGCAAGGATTCATATTCTTGGTTCTTTCGGTAAAGTCACGTTGAAGGGACAATAAAATAATAAAATATATAAAACAATAAAATTCTCACGACGTTTCGACTGTAACACAGTCATCATCAGGTGTGAAAAACCAACGGCAAGAAGCATTGGAAAGAAGTGGCGGTTTAATAAATACAAACCGCCACTTCTTTCAAATGCTTCTTGCCATTGGTTTTTCACACCTGATGATGACTGTTTGTGTTACAGTCGAAACGTCGTGAGAATTTTATTGTTTTATATATATTTTATTATTTTATTGTTTCCCTTCAACGTGACTTTACCGAAAGAACCAATAATATAATAGCTTTACCACTTTGTTTTTTTCGGTAAAGTCACATCGGTAAAAAAATCAATAAAATAAAAACCAAGAGTATGAATCCTTGCAGTCACGAAAGCTTCAAATCTAGAAATAGCTTTACCCTTTCTGGCAATCATATTTTTTGATACTGGCAAAAAGGTCCCGTGGATATAACTGCTCGACCCGAGCTATTAAGTATCCTGATACTTGCATTGTCTCTGTACTGTTCATCTTTTGGCATTCTCTGGTGTAACACTGGTTAGACAAGGCCATAAAGAAGGAGGCCAGTCAGTTTCACAGACAATGCGAACATTATCAGAGTACAGTAAAACCTTGGATTGCGAGCATAATTCGTTCCGGAAACGTGTTTGTAATCCAAAGCACTCGTATATCAAAGCACTCGTATATCAGTTGTGATCACGTGATGCTCGGCAGACAAAGCGTATACATACTACTCGTATTGCAAGACCTCGCTCGTTTATCAAATTAATATTTATTTCAAAAAATTGCTCGACTCGCAAAACACTCGCAGACCAAGTTACTCACAATCCAAGGTTTTACTGTATGTCTGTTTACATGTTTTACCACAAGTGTGTGTGTGGTTAATGAAGACTTGATGCCTTGCAAAGGGTATCTATTTGGAGTGTGAACATCTTAACACCTGTTTTATTTCCATAAAGGGTAAACACCTATTCTTATTTTTTAATGAGTTTTCAATATTTGACGTGACGTCCGGCGTCAAGCTCCGGCACATGGAGCAAAACGTCAGATGTCATTGCCGAACAAAGAGCGGCACGACTGCACACTGCATCGGAAAAGTGACCATGGCAAATCTCATCAACCCTGAAAAATAAATATTGATGGCATGCTCCTTTAGAGCGTGGCAATAATGCACGTACCACGCTAGCAGTAACGCTCCACTTGGGGTTGGTGTTGCTTGCCAAGAGCGCCTTATGCCACAGCATCGGGGATTTGTACGTCGCCAGCTGTGGCGTGAGGATTGTCCCATTCATCAGCAAAGTGGCATAATGCACCGTGCCCTGTGAAAAGAGGCATTGACACGCATATCACAATTATTCCACAAATGGTTACTACTAATCCCGTATATTGTTTTACAATCCTGTTATATATTTTATACGGTACTTTTGTCAATGTACTAATGGATTAAGGACTCCCCATAGTGTGTTGCTCAATTGAGTTGAGTGACCATACTCCACCATGCTGGTCAGTGCGGGTTGGTGAAGGTGGATCAAGGACGAGTTCAGATATCACTCGTCCACCAGTGTCAAATGTGGCTGGGAATCAAACTCAGCGTAATGCACTAACCCCTGAGCCACCACGAGTAAATATTATCTTTCTATAAAGTTATCTATATTTAATAATTGGGCCACAAAAAATATCACTGTCAACTAAACTCTTTTGCACACTGAAATATTCTGACATGGATCAGAGCCTTCCACATTTGAAGAACTGTCATGATTCAAGGCAACTATTCCTTTCAATAATTATTTTTCAAGGATCGGGTGTCCTTTGTCCCGTTTCTTACGTTTTTCCACTGTTACATTTTGTTTGTGCCGTCTATTTCACTCCATCGGACTAATTGGATGTTTGTACATGTACAGCCCTTGTCAATCCACTGCTGGACGAGGGCTCCCTCACGTTGTGCAAGCCGTGGGGAAGTTATTTGACCATACTTCACCATTGTGGCCAGTGTGAATTGAAGGTGGGGATCACAGGCGTGGTAGCATAGCACAGTGCAACTACATTGTGTTGCTCATTATATAGACCCGCAAGCCTGTAACACTTTTTTTTACTGCATGGCGGTTACCCATACAAGCACTATTCAAGCTCAAACCTGCTTAGCTTCCGAGATCTGACGCGTTCAGGGACATTCCGGGTCAATTGGTCATCGGCAAAGCTGCAAATAATGTTTATAAACTAAATAATTGATTATTGTGCGCATGAAACAATATTCGTTTTGTGGAGTAATCAGTTTTAATCGACGATTCACTACATTTTGATTTAAAGCTTTCGTGACTGCAGGGATTCATATTCTAGGTTCTTTCGGTAAAGTCACGTAGAAGGGAAACAATAAAATAATAAAAATATAAAACAATACAAATATAAAACAATATTTTTATAATTTTATTGTTTCCCTTCTACGTGACTTTACCCAAAGAACCAAGAATATGATTCACTACATGCCTAATTGTGATCACTTGCGTGTCCATGTAATTGCATTCAACACTTTGCGTATTACCTTCACATTAATGGAGAGAACATCTTTCCCGGGTTGTAAAACCCCTCGATGAACGAGCTGTCGATAACTGAGAAACGACGGAATGCTTCCCGTGACATCTGTCTGACTTTCAGTTGGCCGCATGATGACCTCTCCCGGTGCAGCTCCAACATCTATTTCCAGGTCCGCATCCTGACGTTCTACGCCTCCTTTTTGCTGTCCGCGTAGCCGGGTGTAGTCGTGTTCAATTGTAGGATGCCTTGTAACACTTAAAATCTGTGGTGTGTTTTGAAGACCGACAACCGACATATGTGATACGTATTCATTTTGTGCTCCCGCTGACAGACCTTTCGCAAGTATTTGCACTTGGCTGTCACAGGGTTCATGTGTCACTGCTGAACTCTGGCCGCTGCTTGTCTGTGTGCAGCTGATCAAACTATCGGGGATATAAACCACATCCTCAGAATCAAAAGTCGTATTTCCTTCTTGCACTATAGTAGCTCCGTCCCTCTGCACTGCATAATCGGTGATTGGCAGAGCAGTCGTGTTTTCCGAAGTACATGGAATGACCACAGATGATCCCATGGTTTGTTGTTGTTCTACTTGCACAATGCTGTTTGGAACCTGAGCAAAGTCACTCGATTTCACAGTCATTCCCGATGCCGAGGGCGTTTGTTCCTCCTGAGAATTTCCGCTCTCCAACGTCTGCTGCTGAATCTGCAACTGCTGTTTAAGTTCTTGCTGGAAAGTCTTGTATCTTAAGCTGAGCTCCCTGTGAGTTTTGAGTCGTTCCAATAATTTTCTTTTGCGAATCATGAGCAGATCCCACAGTTCACTATTTGCTTTGGCTCGGCACACACTTGAGTGCTTTCTAAATGTAAACAAAGCAGGTCAATGTGAAAAAAGTTAACGTTTGTAATGTTACGTCACATTTTTAAATACACACATTGTGTTTTAAAATATACACAAATGGTTCTTGTACATTAAAGGTGCTACTTTCTTGCTGACAATTTTCAATCTATTTTACGTAATGTAATAATAATAAAAACTTGTATGGGGTTTGACTGATAGGGAGAACACCACAACTACCATTCCCAACCAGCCAAATGTAAAGCGTTATAATGTTTGCCTCCAATTAATTTGTTAAGTTTATGGCACTCTAAGGAGGAAAAAAAAGTATTACTTTGAAGGTACTGAATATACAGATTAAAAACAACAATGTCAAAGATGCCGTTTCACTCATTACGTGCTGTTGCTCAAAGAATACGAGTCTTTCTTTTGACGTTGAAGCAGAGTGTTTAGCGTCAAATGCATCTTCTGTATAGCTTGTTTGTATTTGTCTGTTAAAATAAAAAAATAATTTAGTTATACTTCACATGTAAAACTTCCCATATGTAATGCGTTAACCTACTATCTTATTGCACATAAACCTCAACCATGATTACAACTTATCGAATACATCTAATTTCAAATCAATCTGATTGTTCTTGATCACATTTGCCATTTTTATCCAGTACATTTTTTTTACCACGTAACACAATTATCACAAGTCGTACCTTGCAGCTTAAAAGGGAGTGTGATATATGTACGGTCACAAGCTTAAAAAAAACATTCATGTTTTAAGACATGTTTTCTACAAATGAAGAAACTGATCTAAAATTGTACCTGCTTTTCCAGTCAATGAAAGATCCCATGACTTTATGGACTGCAGGGTGATCTTGATATCGTCAAGTTCTTTTATAGCCTCCTTAAATACCTAAGTAGCATTCATTACAAAGCAAAAACAAAGATCCCCCGGGTATGCTTTCAATAGACTGTTGGCACAAACGCCGATAGTGAGCACCTACTGAGGCCAGCATGGCACACGATTGGATGCTGCCTTTGTTTCCCCAGTGATGATGTTACATACCAGTTACTAATTTCAGGCTGAGTCCAAATACCGGTGGTATTGGTGGCCTGGGACCGGTGAAGGTATTCACCATTGATGTTGGCCATGACCGTTCACCGGGTTCGTAGGGCAGTGCGCTAACCACTACACCTCCGCTCCCCAGATCTTTTAAAGCACGTATGCGCTGATCAAGTCATTTATCGTTTGACCCCCAGCAACTAAGGAATGTATATTTAAAACACATCTTATTTTACAAAAAAAAATGTTCCCCTCAATTGTTGTTCATTTCATTTAAAATAAATGTAACATTTGTGTATCTGAAAAGATACAGAAATTGTAAATACTTGCAATTGTACTCATGATTGTACGTGTGTATTTTTGTGCGTAGGAGTCCATTTAATAAATGAATGCATCATTACATCCATATTGATGAATAAACACACTTAAAGATTTGAGGTACAATATAGCAACTAATTATCGTATATCCACGGCTAGCCTCCCCACTAATTATCGTATGTCCACAGCTAGCCTCCCCAAGGTGTCAACAGCTCAAATTCTCGTAATCCAGCACACAAGCTGATTGTGCCGTGGGCACGTTCCCTTCTTTAGCAACTAATACCTCTGTAAAACCTGTACCTGAATGAGATGGAGCTGTTTATCACTTGAAGGTCCTTGTCCTTTCTTCCTTCCTGGTTTCATTGGATATTTCTTCCCTTCTGGACAGTGGTCCTTCAATGCCACATCACAGCTCTGTCTGATGTCTACCTCGCTAGCAGATTTGCTGCCACTATCAGGGCAGTGACTTCCCCTAAAGGCAGTCACTGGCTCATTACTTGCTTCACCTGCAGGGCAACGGGCTGGCTCGTCCACGAGTAATCTCGTTTGGTCACCATCGGCGCACTGTGCTTTAGCCCAGCTACTCAGCAGATGTTGCACCCTGGCACCTTGACACAACTCGAGGGCGGTTTTGCCGTGAGCATTTTTCATCCGGGGGTCTGCGCCATTCTCTAGCAGGCACTGCACCACCTGCACACACAACCACAATATAAACACATTTGGTGACACCGTATTGCAAGCTTAATATAAAAAAAACTGAACACATTACATTCTTTGAATAACACTGCCTTAAAAGGAAATGTATATTCCAGGCAATGTTTTGGGCAGTGACACTTTTTCACGGCCCATGTTGAATGGCATTGAAATGATGCACTCCCAGAAGGCCGTGTGGCTGTATCAAGAATACTGTACTTTTATTCGTGTTAGGTGCAAGGGCAGATATGGGAAGGAGGCGAATTGTACGTCGAAGGTGCACCGTTACCTTCCAATGACCACACTTGGCAGCGTCGTGCAGAGGGGTAATGTCATCCAAGCCACGGCAATTAACCCTTGCTTTGGCTCTGACCAATTCCAGAACTACATTCACAAACCCATGAGTACTCGCTACATGCAGTGGCGTCCAACCTTAAGAGTAAAAACAAACTTATTCGTAAACTGAGAACGCGTTTGTAAAGAATGTTTCTATAATGCGTTTAACCTCAGAAGTATCTAGTGAACTGCAGGAGACGACGTCACCGGAAAATTGCATCATTGGGTGGGGCAAGGCACGTGCTAGGCTTGTGATGCGATTGTCTTGGTATAGAAAGGTTTTTTTAGGCAGTTTTTTTTATTACCACGTGTTGGGAAACCCTTGTCAGTTTTTTTTATAGCGTCCTGATTAACTACCCAACTTTGCACTAAAGTTGTATTTATCTTCACGACAGTTATCGTGACCTCTCGTTACAGGCGAGAGCTAATGCATTAATGTGTTTCTTAGTTGTGTAACATTTTAAAAATGCCATGTTATGGCCAAATTATTTGGTGATACTGCATTGCCAGTGCTAAACAGGCAAAAAATAATGATTCATACAAGAAAAAAAATAGGCAACGTTCAGGCAGTGGCTCTTCATCACAGCACACAGAGGCAAGAGTCAAATGGACAGTATGTTCCAAGTAGATATAATAAATGTCACGTGATGATGTATTTTTTGGCACGAGCAAAGCATGTTTAACACCAACAGAAAGCTCACCTGCATAATCCGGAGCATTGACGTCTGATCCACTCTGAATCAAAGATTTCACCTTTGACAAGTGACCTTTCAATGCTGCAAAATGAAGTTGCGTCTCTCCTTTAATGTTGCACACGTTCACGTAGTTATCTGCTAAACAACAAGTGCTTACATGGATTAAAATACAAACTTTAACAGATTTAGCTTGGACCTAATCACCCGTAATGCATCCAATCTCATTAGATCCCGGCAACTGAGCAAGTTGAGCCTGGTTAATGCTTGGATGGGTGACCATAAGTGTGTTGTCATAGGGCTGTGGGGCTACAATGTGGGTCGAGCAGTGGGCAGCAGACACATCCACTGCTGTAACTCTCGACTTGTGTGCTCCATTCCTTCACCATCACTAACCATTGTGGTGGAGCATGTGGCTTGCCCCTCATCTAACAGTGGATTGGCAAAAGGACTGTACAAGCTTACATAAAAATATTAGGCACTAAACATCATTAAATTACTTCGAGACCACCACACTACAAATATATGAACAATTGACAAATACCCTTCTTAATGTGACCACTTAAGCTCATTGTGCTTATGCTGTCAATTGAAAAAAAGTACACAACACTAAATGTTAACTTAGACTTAGAAGTCTGGGTTCATACTACAATTGGCTTTCACTTATCCAGGAAAGCCTCATGGAGTTTCAAGACTGTTTCATGAGGGTCCTGCATTGGGATGTTTCCGCTAATTCCAATATTGTTTGACATGTGGGTGGAGGGCTGGGGTACCCAGCAGAAACCCACAAAAACAAGCTCCACACACGAGTCTAAGAATCCACTGCCATCTCCTGGCCAAAAATATTCTGAACATGTACGACTAGTCGAAAGCCCGTTGAGATTACAAGCCTCTGTTGCAAGGGCAACCACAGTTAAAAAAAGAATGAAAACATTTCCAAAATTACAAATATAAACCACAAAAGTTATTACCACAAACATATGACAGAAACGAATCGAAGCTATTGCTCTCCGTTGCGTTTTTAGTTTGCACCACGTGCTGTTCGTGCAGCCAAATGTCTGACATCATGCCGAACATGCGGCAAAACACAAAAACCCATCATAGTTAGACTGCACAACCGCATATATAAAATGAAAAGGATGTAGATGGCGATGAACACAAATATTTTAAGTTTAATTACCCTTGCAAAGAATAAATTCTTCGTAGAAAACCGATTGAGAGGGAATAGCTGTTAAAAGTAAAATAGACGATGTATTTTTAGACTTAAAACTTTCGTGACTGCAGGAATTAATATTCTTGGTTCTTTCGGTAAAGTCACGTAGATAGAAAACAAAAATCTAAATTAGCTACATTTGGAGGTTTGCCCCCTCTTTTCTCTCCACCTGAAGAAGACCGCTTGTGTTGCGATCGAAACGTCGTGGGTTTTTTGCTTTTAATTTAGATTTGTGTTTTCTATCTATGTGACTTTACCGAAAGAACCAAGAATATAGACTATGTATACATGCGAATGCATCACACAAGTCAACGTACGTGTCTCTCTTTTGATATTTTTGACTCCTCTCCAGAAAAAAGTTGGTGGGCCATCTTTCCACTTTCTTGCCAACCGTGACGACTTTCTCACTTCGGGTGGAAATTGTAAATCGAAATTTGAGTATTCTGTTGAATCCAGCAACACTTCAACACTGCAGCTCTCTACATTATTCTCAGTAATTTGTCCTGCAGTATGCTCGCCACACAGCACATCTAATGAACAAGAGGTGTTTGAGGCATCATCAGCAATGGTGTCTTCCTGACAACTCAGTGGCGATGTCGTCTTTGAGCAAGAAGTAACTTCATCCACTTTAATATTTCCAGGATTTTCAGCGCAGCTATCAGTTCTTTCTTTGTATTTTGCACATGTTCTCAATTTCTCATTATATTTATTCTTTGGCACATTAGTTTCAATTGCGTCTTCCAAATATATAATTTTCATCTCTTTCCAGATGGTCACTAATGGTAATGTAGCCGCGAAGGTTTTAGAATCAACGTCAATCGTGTTCAAAGTGTCAATCGCTTTGTCTGATGAATCCGTTACTGTCATAGAGCTCTCCTTGCTCTCCTTCTGGGTGATCGATATGTTCTTAGGTCTTGTAGGCAGGGCAGCGATATCACTTGGGGTACTCTCACTCGAACCAAGGACATCGGACACTTTATTCGATATATCAACTTTGGAAAAAACATCGTTGGGTGTGCAATTATACGAAAATGTGTTTGGAGCACTCTCTGATGAAATGCTCACTGCAGGAAGGTCTTCAGCTGGGACGGAAACCCCAAATCTAATACTAATAGGAGAGGTGTGCGAAGAATAGTGGGAATCTTTGAATTTTTTGGTTGCAATACAATCTCCAGCCTGGAGCATGGTTTGACTTTCCTCTTCAGCAGCTGAGCTTTCAGAAGTATGTGCCAGTGGGCGATACACTGACACCACATTTCCAGATATGAGGCTGATTTCAGAATCTTCATAATCTGGTTCCATTTCCTGAAATTATTAATATTGTCATGTTTAAGATAAAATATACACTTTTTACATCTTAAAATTCTATTACAATAGACACTGTGATAGCTATCTTGTAAATGAGTGGAATGTTTTTTTAAAATGTATACTTCACCTGCTGTACAACTTCTTCTCTGTCACTGGGGGGTTTAATTATCATGCCCTCACCAACTCCCACCAAGACTAAAGGCAAAAGCACAAACAACATGACAGTACATTCTTGTGCACACATGTTCACAACTAGCAGCTGCAGTATATTTTATGATTTTGCCCATTTAGAATGCGAGTGTATATTATGTGTTATGTACAACAATTATGATACGATTTATTTTAACTTCGTGACCAAAAAAACCTTTGGCTTCTTCAGAAGAATGTACATTTTTCTTCGAAATGCTGAAATAGACAAAAATGCCATAATTGAGCAGAGCCACCGTCATGTTGAGTCTGTAAAACAATCCCGATGTGCATATTTAATAATAAAGGTTTTTGGGTGACATCGCGTGGAAAAAAACAGCTGAAATTATAATGTAAATATTTACACAATATAATCCAAAAAAAACTTTTATTATGAATGATATTGGCCGCAAAAGCCTACATGTTAAACATTATAATTTCAGCTGTTTTTTTCCATGCTATCTGTGCTCTTATTATATTGCAGGATCCAATTTGGAAGGCTGCAACTTGGAGAGGCCTTCATCCAGCAGTGAATCGAGCATAGCTGATGATGCTGAACCATCACCAATGTCAGCACAATGTAGCGTGGGAAAAATATTTATATTGTCAACTTTAAATCTGAGGAGCACATGTAACACTTACATTTCATCAAAGAGAGATTGGGAAAACCCTTCCTCTTCCATTTCCTGTGAATAATTGAACATGTTACCATCTTTTCTGTGATTACATGAATATGCAACACAATCAGAAAAAAATATAATAAAAGGCTTAACCTCCATGGCGGGCGCTGAAGGGTTAGTCTCGAGTCCCCAGTGCTGAATGTTTAATTTTATTTTGGGCACGACTGCGATCACCGGAGAGAGCCTTTCTGGAACATAAACATTACATTCGTCATTTGGACTTAATTACACAGATACGTCAAGGTGGCCCATGATATGTTGGATTACAAAGCCGGTTCAAATCGGAACAGCCAAATGTGATTACATTAGGCCAAGTGTAGTGAATTGATCATCTTAGCCTAGTCACTAATATTCATCATTTCCAGTCTTTTGTGAATCCAATGCTGGATGGATTCCTCATGCCATGTCAGTCATGGGAGTTCTTTGCTCATATTTAACCACACTGGCGAGTGTGGGGGCGGGGAGAGTTGGGGACCAGGCCTGATTCAAATATCACTCGCCACCAGTGGCGGCTCGTGACATTGGCACTAGGTGGGGCTGTTGTGAGTGACCTCTGAAAATATGGTGTTCTAATTAAGAAAAACCTCATCATGTTATTGGCCTTCCCGTGAAAATTATATAACGGTGTTATCTACCAACACTAGGCATTTATAAACAACTAGCGGGAAGTACCCGGCATTGCCTGGGCAAAAAATATATTTCAAAACTTCTCTTAAAAACATAACATATACAGAGACAAATACTAAGCTTTTGTGAAAGCCCAGCGTGCGGTTTGTCTGTCCATTTGTCCGTCAACAACATTATAAGAGGCTTGCAGAAGTCCAAAAAGTTATAGAAAATGGGGGGTAAATAGTTGATCTAAAAGGCTTCCGAAAATTGTAGATCCCCCCCCGCCTCCAAAAATATGTTTACCCCCGCGTAGGCATATATCCCTAAACACCCTACACACAATAGAGTGACTAGTATCTAGTGACTCTATAGTAGTATCTGACTCTACAGTAGCACCTGGCTCTACAGCAGTATCTACTGACTCTTTAGTAGTATCTATTTACTCTATAGTAGCATCTACCGACTCTACGGTAGTATCTACCGACTCTATAGTAGCATCTACCGACTCGATAGCAGTATCTTCTGACTCTATAGTAGTATCTGCAGACTCTATAGCAGTACCTGCTGACTATAGCAGGATCTACTGACTCTATAGTAGTATCTACTGACTGTAGTAGTATTTACTGACCGGAGTAGTATCTACTGACCGTAAAGTATCTACTGACCGTAAAGTATCTACTGACTGTATAATAGTATCTGATTGTAGCAGTATTTACTGACCGTAGTGGTATCTACTGACTGTAGTAGTATCTCCTGACTCTATAGTAGTATCTGCAGCCTCTATAGCAGAATCTGCTGACTATAGCATTATCTACTGACTCTATAGTCGTATCCGCCAACTCTGTAGCAGTATACTGACTATAGTGGTATCTACTGACTGTAGTATTATCTACTAACTCTATAGTAGTATATACTGACTCTACAGCAGTATATACTGACCGTAGTTGTATCTACTGACTATATAGTAGTATCTACTGACACTATAGTAGTGTCCACTGACTATAGTAGTAACTAACTCTAAAGCAGTATCTGCTGATTAAAGCAGTACCTGCTGATTATAGCAGTATCTACTGACTATAGTAGTAACTACTGACTCTACAGTAGCATCTACCGATTCTGCAGTAGTATCTCCCGACTTTACAGTAGTATCTACCGACTCTATAGTCGTATCTACCGACTCTATAATAGTATATATCGACTCGATAATAGTATCTAGTAAGTATATTTAGTAAGTATACAAAGTGCTGTTGTGAGGCCTAGTCCCGTGGAGAGCCCCTGGCCTTGCCTAGATTGCCCAGCCGGCCGAGGTGGCACCTTGGCAGGCTGGGCTGCTATACCCCCCCCCCTCGCCACGGTCCGCTCTACAGTAGCAGTAACAACACACTCTACAGTAGTATCTACCTACTATATAGTCATATATACGACTCTATAATAGTATCTATTGACTCTATAATAGTACTAACTTCACAGAGTGTAGTGGTGAGACCTAGTCTTGTGCAGAGCCCCTGGCCTCGCCTAGATTTCCCAGCCGGCCGAGGTGGCACCTTTGCAGGCTGGGCTGCTACACCCCCCCCACTACCCCCCCCCGCCTGCTCTACAGTAAAAGTATCTAAGGGCTATAATATTAGTATCTACCGACCCTATAGTAGTAAGTGCACACATTGGGGGGGGGGGGGGCATCAGTGTGTGAAAATTTTACCTCAGTGCTGTGTATTTTTTTAGCATTTTGAACGCGAATGAAAGATTCCCCCCTCCGCCCACCGATCGCGCGTGCGCGTTGCTTTCTCACGCATGCACAGATGTGTGCTTTGGCACGCACTCAGCGTAGTAATATAATAATAAATAGTAATCAATTGTTAATTTAACTACAAAAAAAGTCGACGGATGTAAAATACAAATAGCGCTGGCTCACCCCGGGGCTTATCGCGTGGTATCTGGGTACTTTTTTTTAAACGTAAACCACAGTTTGTGAGTTAATCCGTCGCAAGTTGCGTCCACACAAAGACACAGAAAAAAATATACTTTATAGGTAAGAACACAAAACAACAAAGCACTTAAATGCAGTCCCCATGACCCTCAAGTCCATGCTACACAACCCCTTTGACACTGCCAAAAGAACAATGAAAGATCAGCTGACACGCCTCAACAAAATTAGCCAAGGAAACCAAGACACCGCATACTGTACAATAACAGCATCATACTGTCGTACACCCACCTAAGTGTATGCCACGACCTGCTATATTTGCACAGTGCCACCTAGCGTTGTGACATCGTCATTACAGCCACGGGCACCTTTTCACCGCCCTGAATTGCTCTCAAACGGCGTGGCTACAATGCGAAGCTCATTTCAAAGAATGAAGGGAAATCTCTCACTCGGACGCCTTCACAGCTGCCCCGAGACCTCCCCGAGGCACAAATATGACTGTGTTTTTGCAGCGGTGCCTAAAACGAACTTAAAATATTTTGATTGAAAGCTTTCGTGACTGCAGTAATTCATATTCTTGGTTCTTTCGGTAAAGTCACGTTGAAGGGAAACAATAAAATAATATATATTTTATTATTTTATTGTTTCTCTTCAACGTGACTTTACCGAAAAAAACAACTTAAAATGTCATCTTCATTAGGCAATTCACGTTGAAAGAACCAATATAAATGTGTAAACGCAACAAAACAATTGATGTAAAAGTATTTTTTTTATATTTGAAAACTAATTTCTGATCTCCAGCTGCTTGGATGGGGCAGCAGGCGCCCCAACGCCCCCTAGTGGACGCACCGCGCCTGCTCGACGCAAATGTTTGCCTTGGCCAGGCATCAAACTCAGGTCGCCGGGTTCAGAGTGCAGTGCGTTAACCACTTAGCAACCGACCTGCCAATCGTAAAAATAAAATTAATATGACATCTGGTTTTCACTTATTTGGCATACTCCGGCTTTGATAGTAAAAATGCAGTTTGACATGCAATAAAAAAACCACTTTGCAGGGTATAGACATGGTGTGCCCCTTGTGTGGATAAAGTGGTGCAATGGCAGCTGCTGGAATCAATAGAAAGCACAGCTCATGACGTGACATCTACAGCCAAGTTAACTGGAAATTTAAAACCATGAAGCAGATGATATTACCTTCCCCCCCCCACACCCTACAACTTAATTTTCATATTCTTGGTTCTTTCGGTAAAGTCACGTAGAAGGGAAACAATAAAATATAAAACGATACAATTCTCACGACGTTTCGACTGCAACACAAGCAATCATCATCGGGTGTGAAAACCACAGCCACTTTTTTCAAATGTTCTTGCTGTGGTTTTCACACCCGTTGATGATGGCTTGTGTTGCAGTCGAAACGTCGTGATAATTTAATTGTTTCATATTTTTATTGTTTCCCTTCTACGTGGTGACTTTACCGAAAGAACCAAGAATATGAATCCCTGCAGTCACGAAAGCTTTCCATCAAAACTTCATTTTCACCATTGAAGGCAAACCCTCACACCTGCATCTCCACGTGTGATTATTCCAGCCACTTCTCCCATCATCTCATCTCTGGTGCTGCTACCATCCTGCACACGCCTGATCGACAACAACACAGCACAGTTCAACAACGCGGGGCTTTTTTGACATTCGAACATCAACGGGACGTCCGATTAGCGCGGTTGGCTACGTTATACGGTGTTGAAAGAAGCTCAACATAATGCACGTACGATGTGCAAAACCCCACCTCCCTTCGTGAATGCGTAGTTGGACTAAAGCTATGGAGCAGATGAGAACGTGTAAATATTAAGTGACGGCATCTTCCAGGTTATGCGACTTCGCGATACGCTGTGCGTGTAATCGTCAAGGGCAATCAACGAGTGGATGTTACTGTAGTCGGTCATGCTGACTCGTACCGGAGGTGGGTCTCGTCCCATTTGTCTTCGTCGTACGAGCACTCCATCAGGCTAGCAGTGGAGTCGCTATCTGCTTGATCCCTCTCAGACGCGGACATCGTGGCGTCGTTATTAATATTGTATCGATTTTATTCTGACTGGTGGCCCCAACTTCATGAGACGTGACTGCGTTGAAATTTGTATGGTGGTTTTGAGTACCGCACACGACTGTGTATTTCGTGGAACCACGTTTAATGATTAATCTCGCGACTTTTAATGAACTTCGGATGCGATGCAAATAGTACGTAATTAACTGTATAAAACTTGTCAGGTTAACACGAGGGCGCAGATAAAAACGAAAGTCCACCAAAAAAAACACGGCAACGAATTACATGAACAGCAAGTCCTCGTTTAACGCGGTGACCGCGTTCGTGAAAAGTTCCACGTTAAGCGAAAAACGCATTAAGGAAACACAAACTATGAGCGAGAAAGGATCGCACTACGTTGACACAGCGAGATGGCGGGACTTATAGCTGAGGAAGCGCCGCCGCATGACTGTATCACTCCGCGTACTGTATCACTCCGCTCAGCCGCGCAGCTCGAAAAAGTAGTTCGTCGTCGACTGCACGGCAACCGCGTTATAGCAGGACGCGTTCCGCGTTGTAACGGGACGCGTTGCGCGTTGTAACGGGGCGCGTTCCGCGTTGTAGCGGGACGCGTTCCGCGTTGTAACGGGACGCGTTCCGCGTTGTAACGGGACGCGTTCCGCATTGTAACGGGACACGTTGCGCGTTCTAACGGGGCGCGTTCCGCGTTATAACGGGACGCGTTCCGCGTTGTAACGGGACGCGTTCCGCGTTATAACGGGACGCGTTCCGCGTTGTAACGGGACGCGTTCCGCGTTGTAACGGGACGCGTTCCGCGTTGTAACGGGACGCGTTCCGCATTGTAACGGGACGCGTTCCGCATTGTAACGGGACACGTTGCGCGTTCTAACGGGGCGCGTTCCGCGTTATAACGGGACGCGTTCCGCGTTATAACGGGACGCGTTCCGCGTTGTAGCGGGACGCGTTGTAACGGGGCGCGTTGCGCGTTGTAACGGGACGCGTTCCACGTTATAAAGGGTGTGCATTGTGTGAAAAGTGTTCCCCAATGGAAAAAGTGCGTTATCGCGAAAACTTAGCTCGGAGTTACAGTACTGTAACATCACTGGAACCATAATATAGGTTTTTTTGGGGGGTTAGATCGCGTAAATATGTGTCGTTAAACCCGCCACCACCCGACAGCCAATTAGTAAGGTTTGTTACGTAAACAGAACATGCCAATTAGTTACCAGTACAGCACACCGGTGTGTTGGAGAGAGAATCTACAACATTTACAATCTGCGATTTGAAGCTTTCGTGATTGCAGGAATCCATACTCTTTGGTTCTTTCGGTAAAGTCACGTAGGTAGAAAAATAAAATAAAAAATCACGACGTTTCGATCGCAACACAAAGCGGTCGTCCTCAGGCGGAAAAAAAATCATCCAGAAGTGGAACAGCTGAACCAGCGAGAGAGAGAGAGACAGAGAGCTTGTAACAAGGCCGGAGCCAGGGAGTCAACATTGGGGGGCCAGGGGGTCTGGGGGTCCCCATCCCAGACAAAAAAAATCGAAATTTGAAAACTCATTTCCTATTCATATTCTTAGCTCTTTCGGTAAAGTCGCGTTGTGTTATGGTCGAAACGTCGTGAGAATTTTTTTTGTTTTTATATATTGTATTATTTTATTGTTTCCCTTCAACGTGACCTTACCGAAAGAGCTAAGAATATGAATTACTGCAGTCACGAAAGCTTTAAATCAAAATTCAACTCATTTCCTGCCTAAAATATTTTAAAAAAATCACCAACATATAGGATGTACTTTTTATTTATCTTTTTTACAATAATGTATAATAGTGTTATTGTATTACATTGCTCTGTTTTTTTTTTGACCTTTTTTTGTTTCATTGTGTGTAATGGCAGAGATTACGGATTAATAAAGTACAACCATAACCACAAAAATATAAACAGAAATATATTTTATAGCAATATATTTGGGGGGGGGGGGACATTTTGAGCATATTTGAATATTGATAATATAATTACGGCCTTGGCTTGTAAGACCCTTTTTAAATAACCTCTTGTTTCGATTTAAAGCTTTCGTGACTGCAAGGATTCATCTTCTTTGGTTCTTTCGGTAAAGTCACGTAGAATGAGAATAAAATAATAAAATAAAATATTGTGTTATTTTAAAAATATTGTGTTATAAAATATTGTATTATTTTATTCTCATTCTACGTGACTTTACCGAAAGAACCAAAGAAGATAACCTCTTCTTGTTGTTACAGCTATCTCGCTGGTTCAGCTATTTTCACTACTGGGTTATTTTTTTTACCGCCTGAGAACGACACCGCTTGTGTTGCGATCGAAACGTCGTGATACATTATTATTAATATTTTTGTTTATAGTTTTTTCTTCTACCTACGTGACTTTACCGAAAGAACCAAAGAGTATTAAATATATTATAATCATATAAGATATTCCGTAACAGTGTCACTTGCACGGGGAGCCCCCTGCCGAGGGAGATCGGGGGCCCCGGGGTTCTCCTCCCCCCCATGGCCCCGGGCTGGGCCGTGCTGGGGCCCCGGGCTGGGCCGTGCTGGGGCCCCGGGGTTCCTACCCCCCCCGCCCCCCATGGCCCCGGGCTGGGCCGTGCTGGGGCCCCGCTCCCTCCTCCCCCTCCTGCTGCTGCTACTCCGCCTTTATCTGCCGGGCAGCAGCAGCAGCGGCAGCAGCAGCAGCCACGGAGCTTGCACGCATCCCCATCATCATCACCACCACCATCATCACCACCACCACCCGCACTGACTCTTCTCTCATCACGAACCATCAACAAGCCCAAGCAAGATTCGCCTGTTAACTCAAAGTTGAAGAAAAGCCGTCCGCACCAGGTGAGCTCCTGCGTTGATATAACCCGCGTCTCGCTTAATGTCATCGTCGTCGTCGTGGTGACCAAATCCACAGCTGGATGGAGACATCCACCAAGCAAGTCGTCCGTCATATCACTCGGGCTCATCTTAATATCGCTCCAATCTCTGTGCCGGGTCGCGTCCTCTCTGTACACGCGTTGTTGTTGTTGTTATTGTTGTTCAACCTATGCGTACAGAATGAATCGTTATAATTATAATGGTTATACGTTGGTGCCGTGTGTGTAAATTGTCCTGCACATTGTGTACGATGGATGGGTATGCTGTATACAATACTCATCATGGCCAACATCGATAGTATAACGCATTCTCGATCCACTGCTGGATCAAAGCCTCTCAGCTGATTTTCAATATTTTTTTCTAACCCGTACCTTTTGGTATTCGTTATATTTACGTGCTCGCTGCTTGAATTGTTATTTTATTTGACAAAATTCTAAGCGCCGATGCGTGCGATTTGTATGGAAAATTATTTATTTTATTTATAGCAAACTCAAAGACGGTGGGCGTTGTTGCTGCTTGACAACGAAACAAATCAGCCTAAAGTAAGGAAGGTTTTGCTACAATATTAAAATAAGAAACGCGTACAATTGTGGCGACTACATATTAATTTACGGGTCTCATAAATGCCATTACAACAACATAGAATTGGGGGAATGTACAGTATTGCATTTAGGTGCATCTTGTTTGTAAGCAGATTAAAAATGACGATCCGGCAATTCAAATTTTGTCACATGCATTCGTATCTGCAAATGCAGCATCTTTATTTTATATGCAACTAAATTGACATACTATAGTTTTGCATGCAAAAAAAACCCACCGTGGTATTATTTACATATGTACACAAATGTATTCTAGGCAGTGGAATAAATGGGACAATTTTCTTTTCCACTGTTGGCTCGCCTACCCCGAGCCCCATTATCTAATCGTGGGGCGGGGCTCCGCGTCGACTCGCGATGTGGTGAGCGCCGCCGACCAATGGGAGAGCGCGCCTGGGCTCATGCGATCTCGCGTTTGAAATCTCTACTCGGCATGCGCAACCAATGGGCCCGCGAGATTCCCCTCGGCCGTGTCAATCAACTCTATGAAATTTAACGGAAATTCCCCCCCCCCGCCCCAACCCCCTCCTACACCCCCCACTAATCCCCCCCACCAACCCCCCCTACAACCCCCCTACAACCCCCCCCACAACCCCCCCCTACAACCCCCTCGCACTCCGAGATCACGCGTCTGTCACTCGTCTGGCGCGTGCAACCCGTGACGTAGTCACGAAGTTCGGGGTGTTCCACCACCCCACCGCCTCGCGATCGTTGACCAATCGGCGAGCGCCGTCTCAGCTCTTTCGCAAACTCGCGTTGACGACGCGGCAAAAGCGGCGAACGGCCGCGGGTGACGCGCAGGGTTGGGAGGGGGGCCCCTCCCTCCCCCTCTTCGTACGATGACGTCATCACGCGATGACGTCACCGACCCGGGCGTCACCATGGTGGTGAGGTTGCCGCAGTGGTAGTCGAGGTGGGGTTTAAAGATTCCGGGGCTCGTCGTCAGTGAACCGGTAAGGCGAGAGAGAAGGGGTTTGGCAGTCGGGTGGCCCTTGAGTCTCGGTTCTCCCCCGAGCTACGGCCCGGGGGGGTGAAGTTGTTCGCGGCGAGGTTTGTTGCTGGGCCCGGGCCGCGGGCGGAGGTCAAAGCCCTGGACGCTTAGGCCGCGGCGTTCCTGAGGCTTCCGCTGTGTACTGTCCCGCATACAACGTGTTCGTCGTGTTGCACGGAGCCGCTTCGTGTGTGTGTGCCGTGCCCTCGCCGGTAACGTCTGGTCATCTCGTAGCCTTTGTTTAACAATCCTGGCTGTCGATGAGACCCAGAAGTTGGAAACTGGCGCAGAGTTTGCTTGTTTAAACGCGTCTAGATATTGGTTAGAAATGGCAATAGGCTCATAGGTGACGTACATTTTATTGTATTTATATATCTTATGTTGATGGCATTCGTGAATGTGCTAGCGTTTTTTTTTTAAATACGAGTCTTGAATTCGGTTCTATGGACCATATAGTGAACCACTGTAGTCTGTGTCCCTTAAACGTAGGAAGAGCGGCTAGCTTACACCTACCTTGTCCTGAAATCCTCTCGTCGTGGCTAGCAGACATAACCTCGACATTAACATTTAGCTCCCGAACGTTTTGCCAAGAATATAATATAATTGTGTTATACCGTGTATTCCTTCGGGGTTCTGCCATTAGTTGATTGAGTTTCTGACGAACGTTTCTTCGGTTCCTTTCATTTCTTCATAAAGTTTGTGTTAAATAAGACAATGTAATGGACGGCTAGTCAGGTTAGTGTGGCTTGTTGAGTGGCTAGTATTGTGGTGTCTCTTTAAACCTCAGGTGAAGACCGGTCTCAACATTTGGTCGCGCATGACGTGCGTCATTTATTTGGCAAAGACGGATCTTGATGTACAGGTTACGTGGTTGCTGAAGTTGTTGGGAAACCGATGAGTCACGTTGACAACACTCGTTTGTTAACTGTTTGTATTGGCGAGTGTGTAAGTATGTTGATTTGTTTCAACGTATACCAGCAATGGTCTTTGTGGTTGCACGTGTATTGTGTCGAACAGAGTTGTCTGTATTTGAGGTGCCACATGAATGGGTGAACCTGATCACAACAAAGTGACAACATTAAACGCTGGGTTTAATTTAGTTGTCAATGGAATGTGTGTTATGTTTACAGTAACTTTAGGAAGGTCTGATGTAATAACTTGCGCGATTTCAAAACTTGACTCACTACATTGGGCACTTTCTGACACAGGGCACTCTCTGACAGTCGAGGAATTTTTTATTGTTTTACAACATCCATGAAGAAAAATATTGGCTAACAGTTAAACGGATAAGGCATGCATGCTGTCTGAGCCATGTAAATAATGTCAGCATTTTCAAATGAGGTCAAGGTTGGATAGTCAGGTGAAGGTTGGAGTGGGTAAATTCTCGTGAGTTAAGATACAACAGTTCAACAAGTCAGTGATGGTAACAAGGCCAAATTTAATGCAGGTTGCTGATTGTGTAACTATAGACGAAAAAATTATAATCATATCTAATGGGTACAAATTATATAGATATGTTACTTAACAGATATGAGTTTTAAATGCTTTTACTGTGACTTGAGTCCAGCCTTTAACCCTAGGGTGCTGCTTTTATAATAATTTCAACGTTTAAATACTTTACACTTCCATTGGTTGCATCTGGAAGACCTGCACAGGCAATAATTTGCTCACCAGATGAGTTATGGATCCCTTTACGTACTAAGATGTTAAATGTCAGGTGTAAGGTCATAAAGAGGCTGTGGCATGTATACACCAAAAACATCGTATTGGGTTTTTTGGAGCTAGGTTTGCATCTTAGGGTTAAACTTCATGGATAGGTCAGCCCAACTATAATGTGGAGGCTCTTGTCAAGAATACATTTATTATATATTTAACTTATTTGGCACAAAATGAAGCATTGCTGTTATATTCAACATGTGTTGTGCCAAAACAAAGCGCTGTAAGCAGCTTACCTGCCACCACGCTCACGGGCCGACAGGGGACCCGTGACCGGAGGTTGACACCCCTGACCCCCCAGGGGCTGGGGGCTGAGGACAATGGGCTCCCCCCACCCTTCCTAAGACCTCTTAAGATTAAGACCTTCCAGAAGGTTCTGGAGGGGGGGTCATGAGGGGAGGGGTAAGCCCGACCTGGGGATAAAAGGCCGATCCTCTGAACGGGTCTGGCAGTGTTCGCCAACTCAAGCTTGAAGGCATTGGAAGACCTGAGGACTGGACCAACACCATGGAATCCCTAAACCGAGGCTCTCGTTAGAGCCGGGTTGTAGTGGACCCGAGGTAGCTCGGACACCCTGAGACCCTCCCCGTGACTCTCGCCAGAGCCGGGGTGTAGCGGACCAGAGGTGAGCTCGAACCCCCTGGGACCCTCCCCGAGACTCTGGTCATAGCTGAGGTGTAGCGGACCAGGGGTGAGCCCCGTACCCTGCCTGGGATGGGCCGGTCCAGTCTTCCCTTAGCCACCGTGGCAAGGGACTGGTGTGTAGAGTAGCCCGGAGTGTGTAGGACGTGCTAGAAGGGAGTGTGTACCTCCCTTAGGCTATCAGGTTGAAGGGGCCGTACCCCTTCGTGTTACAGTTGTACAGTTGTGTTTAACAGAATTGTTATAATAAACGTGTGGCCTCCAGCAGACGTCTCCGTGTGGTTAGTTATAGACACAACACATGTAATATATGGGAACTCTGGTATACAATACTAATATTTGCACACCAACTCATTTGACTAGCATGGTAATGTATAATCATAAAACCGTTACTGCCTATATGGTGTGGAGATAGCCCCTCAAATAGTAGTGAATTGACAACTGGGTTGCACATTTAGATGCTCACTTGAAAGCTGAAATGGTGGAAAACAGTAATGCTTTAATCTACACACATTTCTTCCAGCACACACTACATTTTTAGCATTCATTACATTTGTGTGTGTTGTCCTCTTGGCAGGTAGCTAAAGATGCTGTCACGACTATTCCGCGCCCATGGGCGCTTTGTGGCCACCCACCCCTGGGAGGTGATAGTGGGCACCATCACCATCACGCTCTGCATGACCTCCATGAACATGTTCATCGGCAACGACGTCGTCTGCGGCTGGAACTACCAATGCCCCAAAACAGATGAGGTAGTTAAGTGCATCAGGTTATTCTCTATGTTAGGGTAATGTGTTTGAGCAAATATTTTAATGAAAGTACAATATCGTTTGCAGTGTAATATAATTTGTTAATGGGAGTGCATGTTGTACATATGTAACTAACATTTAATGATAATAAAAACAAAAATTGGTGAAGCGAATGTAATAAAAACATTGAAAGTTACAGTGTTTGTATTATATTTTGTGTTTCTGCGTGTACGAATAGATTTCACTTGTGCTTTTGTTGCCCACAGGAGGTTCTCAGCAGTGACATTATCATTCTGACCATCACACGCTGCCTTGCCATCCTCTACATATATTTTCAATTTCAAAACCTGCGACAGCTTGGTTCCAAATATCTTTTAGGTGAGTGCTGTGAAACATTTATTTAATACACTTAGAAGATGGATGTTGTTGCAAATTCTTTTTAAGAGCCACTGTAGTGACCAAGCTGACTATTTATTCTCACTGATTGTTGAATACCTCTCTGAATTTAATGTTTTGACTTCCCAGGTATTGCAGGATTGTTCACCATCTTCTCAAGCTTTGTGTTCAGCACAGTAGTCATTCACTTCCTCGGAAAGGAGCTCACTGGACTCAAGTGAGTGTTGCAAGTCTTAAGTTTACATTTGTGCATGCATCCACATGTTATTTAAGAAAAATGTTTTACACTAATATGCATGTCTTATTCTTTCAGTGAGGCATTGCCATTCTTCCTACTGCTTGTCGATTTGTCCAAAGCAAGTGCTCTAACCAAATTTGCCCTGAGCGCCAACACACAGGTACGTCAGTACTATACTCTTCATCACTTGAGTGTAATGTATGGCGTTCTTAACAGAACTTTATAACAAACGGCACACAGTCATTTTACACAGCTGCTCACGTTTTATAGTCGGATATATTTTAAAGTATAATATGTTTAGCCATAGTCCTGCAGAATTCTTATTTATTTATACATTTTCCTGCAGGAAGAAGTGCGGGATAACATTGCCCGAGGAATGGCCATTCTCGGACCGACCATCACTTTGGATGCCCTTGTGGAAAGTCTTGTCATCGGAGTGGGAACCATGTCAGGTGTGTTTTCTGTCACCGCGTGCTGCTCGTTAATGCATTGTTATTGCAGGATTTTTATTTTTTGGCAGACAGCCCCCCATTCGCCAGGTTAAACGTGCAAACCTTTGTTTGCGCGTGTGTCTGTCTTGTTCGAGCAGGTGTCCGGCAGTTGGAGATCATGTGCTCATTTGGTTGCTTCTCCATCCTGGCCAACTACTTGGTGTTCATGACCTTCTTCCCTGCATGTGTCTCTTTGGTGCTTGAGGTAAGCAATATTGGCAAGTGAAGAGGATAAAACTAATTCAAACCACAGGGTGGGATAAAATAAAATATATAGCAGCAATGGCTATTTCTATGACCCCCGGTTTATTTAATCATAGCATCCATCCATCTCCCATGACTGATCCAATGATGAGGTCATTGGGACATCGTCTTAGCAGCTCTGGTCAGATCTGGCCATATTTCCCTCCACCTTTCCTGGTTATCCCATATCACAAATCAGCTGGTTGTAGTTTAAACCTCATCATACGGTGATAATCTTAAGCAAAGTCTTCCCTGCTCACCTTACTTTTCTAGTCCCTTAAATTGTGTCTTGTAGGATGGTTTTGGATAGTTTTTTTATCTATTGATATATCCAAATTACTCAGATTTACTTATTTTTGATGGTGGCTATAAGTTATTATTTCTGTCATTGGGCTGCATTTCTATTAATTAGTTATGTCCTATCATTGGCATCACTAGCATTTAAGCGATGTTAAATTATGGAATTATACCCTAACGGCAACGGTTGGGCACGCCTTGGCAGATCTACAGCAATTGTTTAATTTTGTGGCAATTTTGAGCAATTGTGGATGTAAATGTTGTCTTTCAGGTATCGCGTGAGAGGCGAGAGGGAAGGCCCATCTGGCAGCTCAGTCAGCTGGCTCAAGTCCTACAGGAGGAAGAGGACAACAAGCCCAACCCCGTGGCCCAGCGCGTTAAGATCATCATGGTCCGTGTCACTCATGTGTGCTTGTACTTTATACAATAACAATGTACACCTATCACTTGCCAGTGATGTTTGCCATGGCCAGTCATCATACTCAGGATTCTTAGCGGAATCTGCTAACCACTGAGCCACGGATCCAATCCTGTACTTTATATAGTATTTTATACATGTCTAAGGTTAGGGGTATAGGTTGTATGTGTATATATATGTTTACCTCTCACTAATTTTTGTTATTTGTATGTTTGATAGTGATTAAACTGTACCTGAATGTTAAACTGTTGAAATAAAATTTTATGAACTTAATATTATAACATTCAGGTGCAGTACTAATTTGTAATTCTTATTATAATCGTTTCCCTTGAATTTCTCAAGTGGTAATTTCAAGCGGTTGTGAAAAATACATGTTAGATTGTCTCCAAAAAAAATCTGTAGAAAACTACTAAAACTGGTTCTCACCCATACCTTACAAGCAGAAGTCAGTTGGAAACTTAATCATACATATTCATAATGGCTGGCTTCAGTAATGAGGTGTGGCTTAATGTTTATTTTAGGATTTATGAATAAGTGCTAATTGTAAAATTGGAAAACAAGCGGCTGTTATCCTGGCAATCCTCTTACATCTCACACCCTAATTGCTTTCACAGATTGACACGTGCGTGTGTGTGGTTCCTGTGTGCCACAGTCACTGGGGCTAGTGCTGGTGCATGCCCATAGCCGCTGGCTGGCTGAGCCCGTGGGGGAGAGCAGCCTCTCCAACTCTCCCGGAACCCTTGACGACTTGAACGACAGCTTTCCAAAACGCATCGAGCCCAGCGTGTCTCTTTGGCAGTTTTACTTTGGACGGTCAGTGAATTTCGCACCCAAACACACACTATATAAGTGTTAACAATATTACCTGCTCGTCCGCTTGTGATGAATACGAAATTATTTCCTTTATAAATGGTTAAGGTTACAAAAGTGACAAAAAATAGCTGCTGGTCAGGTAACTTTTTTTAATGTACGAGTAAAATAATGCACACATAGTATGTATAGCTGTCCGATGTTTTCTGGTTGTACAGCGTGTTGCATTTAACCTTTTGAAGCAGCTACCGTTATGCGGAGCGAAACACAAGATATGCTGAACAACATATGATACGACCCAAAAACACATCGGGAGAGCTGTACAGCACAACTACGACAATCTATGTAGCAGTAATAATAGTATGTGATATTTGACACATCTGACATTTATGTACGTATTTTGTTTTGTAGACTGGTGAGCATGGACATCGAGCAGGTGGTCACACTTGGCCTGGCACTCGTCCTGTCCTTCAAGTATATCTTCTTTGAGAAGATAGACGAGAAGGCTGCCTCAGAGAACAGCCACGTTATCCGCCCACGTTCGCTGGAGCCCACGACAGATGCCGTCTCCATCAAGGCCAGGGGTAACGAGTGGCTCGCTTGAACTCGCCTTTTTCTCTCCTGCATAATAACGCGAAACAAGTTTCCTGAAATGGGTGTATTGTATTGTAAAATGTGCATGTGAAGCCCTTTGGTCTAGCCCAAAGGTCAGACGCATGCGGCTCTTTAAGGACTGCTTCGTGACGTTATTTATCAAGGACCACCATCTGGTGTTCACATGCATTGAGACTCTTGAAATATTGAGGTTTTTTTTTTACCAAATTCGAAAAAAAATGCCCTTGTTATTTTGGTTGCCAACCCTTGGTCTAGCCTCTGCTCGATAAGGAATTCACCGTGTTGTGCAGGGTCGTGGGTTTATTTGACTCTAACTTGGCCATGCAGGCTGGGTTGGTGAAGATGTGGGGAGCATAGATGTGAAAATGTGGAAGATGCAGTTTAGCAATGGATTTTAATGCACACTGCCCTCTACTGCCCATATCAGCTCGAATAAACTTGATATCTCATGTCATTCTATTTGCTGTCATCTTCTGTTGAAAATGTACCTTGTCAAAAATTACATTTATGCTAACGGAATATTCTTTGCTTTTCATATCACTGTAGAAAACCTGTGCAGACTCATTGGGTTAATTATGGCCAGAGTTAAGGGGACTCCCTACAGTTATAATTGCGGTTTTAGCCACATCTTGTAATGCTATGTGTAATGTTTGTATATTCAGAGTACACTGCATAAGTTAGAGACTTGTTTGATAAATAATTGCTTTCTAAAACACAAACTTTTGCGTTACTTCAGTTTAGAGCATTCAGAATCAACTTGATTTACTTTAATATACGGTGAGCTGAAGCACCTGCACCAGATTTATTCTTTTTCTTGTGAGTATTTGTCCCACTAGATGGAGTCCGATTAATCAGATATAATTGCTAACTCTTATTTGATCATTCTGTTTTTTTTTTAGAAGACATGTTTGAAGTTATTAAACCAAAGAACCAACCCGAAGTCGAAGCAGCGGTCGTCCCTACCGTGATCCCCGGCCGGATATCAAGGCCTTCCTTCACACTGGGGGACACCGATTGGTCTCCAGAGGAGCTGACCGAGGAACTGCTGGATGAAGATTCGGAGGAGGATATTCCTGCTGAGCCACGGCCCATCGAAGAGTGCAAGAGGATCCTCAACTCGGAGGTGCAGGCCCCCCCCCCCCCCCCCCCCCGAGCACACACAAGTGAAGCGATCACTTTGTCCTGCTCTCGTAAACGACTGTCTTGGCTTTGCCTTTCCTTAGTATATCTGCATAATAATAATATTTTGTCCATTGACCATAGACTTGGATTTGTAATAATAACTGCATTTCAGAAAGTGTTCTTTAAATGTCAAATGTTGCCATGGTTAATGTTTATTTAAATATAATTTTACATCACTTTGTTTAATTTTCTATTTTGATTCCCAACAAGCATAATCTATTTTATGTGCATAATTCATCCATCAAATCATGCTTGTAAGAATCATTTATGCTAAATGCATTTTTATTACAAATTACGTGAATTTTTTCCTTTAGTATAATGGATTAAATGAGATGGCACACACAGGTCAAAAAGGAATCAATTATTTATTCAAATTGACCCTGAATCATTTCATAGAATTGTAAAAATACAAAGGAGACATTACAGCGATACACTGTGCTGCTCATAACGTGGTTTTCTGGCTTGGCCACCTGAATGTGCTATTGTAGTTGTTGCTCTGCATCCACATCAGCCATACGAAAGAAGAAGACGAATTTTGGGGGTGGGGAAACTGACACGGCAAATGTGGAAGTAGAGTTAGTGGCACGAAACACCCTTGTGCACACGGAATCGGTGAATAATTATAGTTTGTTTTCGTCTGCTGCCGTGGCAGAAGGGAGCCCGCTTCCTTTCCGATGCAGAAATAGTGCAGCTGGTGCAGGCCCGTTACATCCCAGCATACAAGCTGGAGAACCTCATGGAATCTCCGGAGCGCGGCGTCCACATCCGCCGACAGATGCTGGCGCAGAAGCTGCCAGCGTCCGACGCCCTCGCCACGCTACCCTACCAGAACTACGATTACTCACTGGTGAGCTGCGCCGCTGCGGCCGACTGCCATGCTCGATTGTTGGACGGGTTTAATGGAAAGGTGGTGCGGCTTGGGCCTGCTGCCAGGGATTCGTGTCGCGCCGTGGCTGACTGGCGTGCCATTATGGCCGCAGGTGATGGGCACGTGCTGCGAGAACGTCATCGGCTTCATGCCGGTGCCCGTCGGCGTGGCTGGGCCCCTCCGACTGGACGGGAAGGACTACCAGGTTCCCATGGCGACCACGGAAGGCTGTTTGGTGGCCAGCACCAACCGTGGCTGCCGCGCCATCGCGGTAAGTTGGCTCGGAGGGGAATTAAAATGCTTTTAAATGACCGTTGTGAAAGTCGTATGATGCAATATCCACGGTAACCTATCGGCTAATGACTTGGCTCATTTGTGGTTGCTTTGTGATGCTCTGAAATAATTCAGTGAATATTTTAGCGACTATGTAACGTATACCCATATATGATACATTTATACATTGCAACGTTCACTTTTATTCTTGGTTCTTTCGGTAAAGTCACGTAGAAGGGAAATAATAAAAATAAAACATAAAATAAAATTCTCACGACGTTTCGGCTACAACGCAAGCAGCCATCCTCAGGTGAAGAAACAGAGCTGTCGAAACGTCATGAGAATTTTATTTTATTATGTTTTATTTTTATTATTTCCCTTCTACGTGACTTTACCGAAAGAACCAAGAATATGAATCTCTGCAGTCACGAAAGCTTTAAATCGAAATTTAACGTTCATTTTTTAAATACTTATTTTTTTTCCCACTCGTGCCGTTAATGAGACTAAGGATGCTTTTGAAACACATAGCGTAGTAGTACATCATGTTATAGAACGGTCTGTGGTAGGAAATGACAAAATTGCTTCCAATATTGCTTCCCATTTTCACTGGTCCACAGTAGGTTGCAGCACTTTCTCACAGTAAGGGGCTGCACTCTGAATAAGTGGAGTAATATATTTACAAGACAATCTAACCAATATTTTTATTTTAATAAAATGTAGCCAAATTAAGTGCTGATACAAATTCAAAGTGGTGTTTTTTTGTGGAGTAATCTGTGACCATCAACTCACTATACTAATTATTAAACCATTATAATCACAGGCATCTGCCTAGAATTCAACCCAGAATGTCAGTAGTGCCAGCTCCGCGCACTGACCATTTGGCCACTTGTGCACATGCTCTTTAATAAAGGGTAAAAAAGCACACCTTAAATGTGTCTTGGCTCAGTCCACCCTAGTTGGGTGTTATTTCATTTTACTTTCCAATTATTGCAGCCGATGCTTATTGCGGATGTTTCTATTGCCGGTAATATTATTGTTAACTCATCTGCACGATCCGTCTCTTCACAGCTGGGTGGCGGTGCTCACAGCGCCGTCCTTGGGGATGGCATGACGAGGGGCCCTGTGGTCCGACTTCCTTCCGCTATCGAGGCAGCCAAGGTGAAGGGCTGGCTGGAAAGCCCAGAGGGATTCAGCATCGTCAAAGAGAAGTTCGATAGCACCAGCAGGTACCTTCCGTTCCTGGACGAAATGGTCGAGCCACATTGGCCTTGTTTTGTTGAAGAGTCTTAAAAGATGGCAAAGCAGGATATTGTTTTTAATAGTGACTTCTTTAAGCAGGGAGGTCGAGACACAATGCTGCTTTTAAGCACAGGAAAATATCACCATCCTAATAGAATGTTGTCACAATATCTCTGGACATTATTGAAGGCCACATGTTATGGAGCCTGTATAATTCTGTAGCTTCACATCATTGAACTATTCATGAACGTGAAATATTTGTTCTTGTGTAAAAGCTCGTTTGTCAATACACTGCTGAATGACAGCCAACACCACATGGGTTGTGGTGGTTATTTGACCGTATATCACCACGCGAGTCAGTGTGAGTTGGTGAAGGCAGAGCACAGATGTACAGAGCAAGTGGATTTTGCTGCTCTTACTGCTGCTGCCCACGTAAAAGCAGGTGGCATAGACTGCTGCATACATTGTCAGCTAAATATAGGGCATGCTTGCTATGTGTAGCCATTGAACATTTGTTGTTTCAAACATTAATTATGTGTTTCGTTTGTGGGGTGGTGCAGGTTCGCTCGCCTGCAGCGTCTGCACGTGGGCCTGGCCGGACGCAATCTCTACATCCGGTTCCAAGCTCGCACAGGCGACGCAATGGGCATGAATATGATATCCAAGGTAGCTCTTCGTCAATATGACACAACTTTTAAAAAGGACATTTTGCGCGATGTTAGCTAGAGAACATGTCCATGAACGGACATCGGTGTTTCCCTCAATACTGGCTAAATGGGCCATTTATTGCTTGTGATTTTATTTCAATAGATTTTTTTTATCTAAAAAAACCCAGTAATGGTGGGAAGGTAAAAAAAAACACCAATGATACCAGGAAAATCACAAGGCAATTCTGGGTTACACTCCTGAAGCTCAAAAGTTGTTTAGCTTTCGAGTTTCAGGAGTGCAGTTTTCAATCGTTTTCCAATTTTCTGGATCTCCCAGCACATTCCCGTTGTGAGGGGGCACAGTTTATTATCCGCCTCACGTTATAGTGAGGGCAATGTAACTTCTACTAACCATGGCTAACGAGACCTAAAGGAAACCCTTCACTCCTGCCCCCCCCCCCCCCGCCGCCCCCTCTCTCCCTGTCGCTGACCCAGGGCACAGAGCTAGCACTGAGCCGTGTCCAAGAGGAGTTTCCAGCCATGCAGGTGCTGGCCGTATCGGGGAACTACTGCACGGATAAGAAGCCGGCCGCCATCAACTGGCTACTGGGCCGGGGCAAGACGGTCGTGAGCGAGGCAGTCATTCCTGCCAAGGTGGTACACGAGGTTGGTTTTTAAATATCTTATTATTATTATTATTACTACCAACATCGCACCCTGCTTGAGCGCAGGCTCAAAGATTCAAAACGCCAAGCAGCAGCCAGCATCAAACAGCACTATTCAATGTCTAATGGATAGGAGTTAATTCTGTTTCGTGAATTGAGCGTGGTTATATGAATGTGAGAAAAGAGATGATGGGAAGGGAATTTCAAAGTTGAGCAATGCAAGGAAAATAAGTGCTTTGACCTGCAAGAATGGTGGCTGAACACAGAGTGTAGAGACGAAAACAGTCGGTCTAATTAGATTGATTCCTCAACAGTTTCGACTCCCAAAAACAAGGCAGCATTTCAAAAAGGGTGTCCCTGTTTGACCCCCTAAAGGAGAGCAAAGATGCCAGTAGCATGGAGAATCTACATTTTTACTTAATTTGAGTGGGATCGTGGATGGGTAGTTTACATTTCTCGTGGGCATCCATGCGCCCGTTTGACATGTTGATAAGTGTACATTTCTGTGTCCGACTTGAGGTGAAAAGGTGCTAATGGTTTCATTACAAATGATGCAGCAATTCACCAAGGAGATGTGCTTGAACATTTAGCGAGTGTGGGAATCTGTCCCATAGCGTTTACGTGGTATTGCTCGGAGTTTTACCACGTACGCAGGTTTTAAAAAAAATGGCTTTTTAATTGTTAAAACTGTTAGGGATGCTTCTTATATGTTTGTAGGCAGGCTCATAGAACCAATTATAAATGTCGATTTCTCTAGGTGCTAAAGACAACAACAGAAGCCCTGGTGGAGGTGAACATCAGCAAGAATCTAATCGGTTCAGCCATGGCGGGCACCATTGGAGGCTACAACGCTCACGCTGCCAACATCGTCACAGCCATCTTCATTGCCTGCGGACAGGTCAGAGTCATGGGCAGCACTGGCCCCTCAAGAGCCGCAAACATTTCGAGTTAATACGATTCCAAGGGCGTTTCCACAAATTTAAGCAACCTAATTTGACAACACGTCAACAATTGTGGAAATGCCTGCACGTGGTAATTGTACATTTGAGGGAAAAAGGCATTTAAAAAAAATCTATTTTTTTATTGTAGAATATACCAAAAATGTATGCCTCAAGGAAATATTATTACACCACATTCCGTGTTGCAGTATATTGTCTAAACACAAGACATTATAAAAGGAAATGTAAGTAAATTATTTGGAACAAAAAAAGTTTGTCAAGCTGTGGGTATTGGCCTCTACGGGGCACGACAAGCCTGCTGGCTGCAGCGAGACTTTTTCAATGAATAAGACAGCGATTGTGCTAATGTTAGTGGTGTCGCTGTGCAGGACCCTGCTCAGAATGTGGGCAGCTCCAACTGCATGACCCTGATGGAGGCAACCGGCCCGTACGGGGACGACCTGCATATCAGCTGCACCATGCCGTCCATCGAGATTGGCACTGTTGGAGGTGGCACCAACTTGGCCCCACAGCAGGCCTGCCTCAAGGTGAGCATGGCACCAAGACTGTGGGTACCACCAACCACAGCTCTGCACAAGTGGTTAGCCCTTGCCAGTTATTGTGCTGTAATTACATTTTTTAAATAATATTTAAATACTGAAATATTTTCAACCTTTACACAATTACAGTCCAGCCCTGTGGTTAGAGTAGGCGTGTCCAATAACATGAAATCTGCAACTGGTTAACAGGTGAAACCAACGAAAAAGGTGCGAATTAAGGGAACAAATTAAGGGTTTCTAAGTAATTGAAAGCTCATTTGGAATGAAAATTATAAGACAACCATTAAAAACTGGAGTTGTACACCCATTGATTTTAAATGCACAGGTGTTCAAATCCCAGTCTGGGGTCAACTCAGCCAATAATACCTGCAGGGCCAATACAATTAATATAATCTTGTGGCAGGTTAACTTTCGATATACTGCCCCTGCCATATGAATGTGGAATTTGTTCAACTGGATCAGGGTTGTGCTAAGGAGATGCACACCCCACACTCATTTGAGTGGGACTTTCATAAAGAGCAAATTGATTTTGAGCTGTGGTTTAGTTTTTGACGCTGCGTGTCTGTGTGTACATGAAGATGCTGGGCATCCTGGGCGCCAGCAAAGATGATCCCGGCTCCAACGCCTGCACGCTGGCACGCGTGGTTTGTGGCACCGTGCTGGCTGGAGAGCTGTCCCTCATGTCGGCACTGGCAGCCGGACACCTCGTCAAGTCCCACATGATCCACAACCGGTACGTGGCTCACCCACACCCGTTGCTGGGAGAATGACTTCTTCAAAGAAAGCATTGTTGTGGCTAAATAGCTCGGGTGTTGCCAAACAATCATTTACTAATAATACAGACTGCTCCTATGTCAGTAACAAGATTAATTAAGTGTGCTTGCCCTGGTGCAAATCCCACATTTTAATATCTCCCACAGCTAAAATTACTGATGGATCGACACTTTAATATCTCACACAACTAAAATTACTTGTGGATCCAATTCCACTTTGATCTGTACTTCTCTAACAAATGTAGAAGATATATTTTATTACTGTGAGAGGTTAAAGTAATTGGAATTATTTGTGTAAACTAGATCAAATGTGCGAGTGTTAATTGGAAATGTAACAGAGGGTAGTGTTTAAATCTGTTTAAATACATCTCCCCCCTCCCCATTAGGGTTGCCACTTCCAAGGTACACAATTGGGACATATCATAGGGTAAAAAACTATAGTATCCCAATACTGGAAGAGAGGAGAAGTACATGCAAATGCATTGTCTTAACAAATAATATGAACCGGGACTTGTAATATCCTGGGAAGCCTTACAGATTTCCCAGTACAAGCTACCTCAGAGGAAAATTCTAGGAAAACCAGGACAGTTGGCAACCCTCCCCCCCCCATTCACTTGCCATGTTTTCTTTGGTAATCGTCCATGCAAATGTGTAACGTGTCACCCGCCATGTGATTGTTTCGTGCACAGCTCCAAGATTAACCTACACGAGGTGACTGGGAACTGTACCAACAAGGCCGCCTGATGGAGCAGTGGAGTCATCATAGTGGAGACAACACACACACACACATCTGCTCGACGGAACAACCGCAGTGCGGGTGTTAACAAAGCCACGTGCTTAATGGAACGACGTTGCAGCTGGTTATGGCGCTGTGGTAGGCGCGAGGCGGCTGAAGGAATCCTGCGTTTGCAGGCCAATGATCCGCTCACATGTACCCCTTTCCTGACCCTTCGTCATGTTTCACGTTCCCCAAAATGTTAGGAAATGAGTGTTAGACGTTGCAGTTTGTCTTGTATCAGAGTAATGGTTTCAAGATGATCTTGCCAATTCTTTCCAACGTTTTGTTACGGTCCTGACGTTTAAATGTTCTTAATCATATCATTCCATGAACAAAGTCAGCTTTGGAAGGGAACGTCCAAATATTTTACAATTTCAACCCCTGACTTTGTTTTATGAATTTCATTTGCAATTGTTTCCATCCGCTGCTTGAACATGGCTCTGTGATAAGTGTGAGTACCAAATTGCATAGCCAGTGGAGAATTTGCTTACATGAAATGCAAATAGCATCTTTTTAAAATAAAAGTACTGTTGACCATAAACAGGTAAATATTCAGTACAGACATATACATTTGCTGCTTGTTTTAGTTGCGTGTGTAAATAACCAGTTTTGTTTACATTGTTGCTTTTAAGCCCATAGTTTTGTAAACCTGAATATTGCTTTGTAGCCACATTGCAAGTCCTGTACATCATAAATCGGTGTTCTGACTTCACTCTTATGAAGGTGCCCGTGGTCTGGGCATTGTCTCCACGTCGTCAATGGTTCTCAGTTGAAGTTTTATGGCACTTTTGGTATGCAGATTAACTTAGCTGTGGTTTTGCATACATCACTTTCAGAACGGTGGCTTTCGGTTGTAAAGACTTTCTTGTGCATTTGCTTTGTGCATTGCTTCTGATGCTGTGCTGCAGTGGGATGTTAAACGGTACATCATTAAAAAAGGCACAACCCAAACTTTAAACGCTGTTTTTTTTTAATTTGTTTGCTTTACGGAACTGTATTCTGCATTTAATAAACGAGGGTTTACTTTCCTAATTATTGGGACTGCTTTAAATACCGTTGATGCAAAAACTGTCAAGTATGGTCAACATTTCCCGTGCAAAAAATGCTTTGCGTCCATAGTTGCTGGTGTGATGCACACCACCCTGCAGTAGATTTGAGCGATTGAACATTTGCAAGTGCCTGTGCTATTGACCCTGAGGCTGAATTTTCTGCAACCATAGCAAAGTCCCAAATGCTTTCCCAGGCTTGTGGCCATGCGGTGTGTTTTTTATGCACGACTGCACAATGGCATTAAGAAATGCTCACACAACAAAAACATTCCATCTATATGCAACGCTTGTCTGACAACAAAACATCCCGAAAAGGCTTAGGCAATTTATAAATTGTTAGGCCATGATTTATCGTCCCATTTCCGATTCCCTACGGGAAGTACGCAAGGGGATTGTAAATTTCTGCAAACCAGCATTAAGACCGGCATTACTCTTGGACACAGCTGCGTGGAAGGAGAGTTCTGTGTTGTAGTTGTGTTTGAGCAGATGTGCACGTCTTCTGTAGTTGGTGTTTGAGCGGTTGGACTTGCTTGTGTAGTTGGTGCACTTTTTGTGATGTACGGTTGTGGTTGAGAGGATGTTCATGGTTGTGATTTGAGCGGTTGTATGATAGCAGTTGTGGTTGAGCTGTTGGTGTATGGTTGCGGTCGTTGGGTATGGTTGTGATAAACAATTAGAATATAAAACATTGCATTATACTATATCAACTTTAACATATATAAAAGGGAAATTTGTGAATGTGTCTGTTCGAAATCTTCTTTGGTTCTTTCGGTAAAGTCACGTAGAATGAGAATAAAATAATAAATTGATAAAATAAAATAACACAATAATATTCTCACGACGTTTCGGCCACAACACAAGCGGCCTTCATCAGGTGAAGGGAGCGAGACTGTCTGGTAGGACAGCGCTGGAGTGAGAGAGCCACGTTCAGATCACGGCTTTTAAGCTGTGTGGGAGGAACAAAGAGCCTTGACGAAGGAATTAGCATAAAATTTAGCATTGAAAAGGCTGAATGATTAGCTTGTGACTGGTCACAGAAATAGCTAAGAATCCACCATATAGCATTGTGATATATAACGACTTATGGTTGGTAGCTTAGCTGATTGGAGAATATAGAGTTTATTGATAACATGAAGGTAATTTATATTTTAGTTTTTATTGGTTCACTATATAGTATATAGTATTCTGTGACCAGTCACCAGCAAATCACCCAGTTATTTCAATGCTAAATTCGCCTAGTTATTTCAATGCTAAATTCTCCTGTTTTGATTTGTACTAAGTGCCTCGGTGAATGTGTATGCTCTGACTTCAACGTAACTATTTCTGTAGCAGTTACAAGCGAATGCCTTAATTTAGCTATTTCAATGCTAAATTCTATGCTAATTCCTTTTAACAATGGGTGCCTCTGCGGATGTGTATGCTTTAACTTTTAACATAGCTATTTCTGTGACCAGTCACAAGCTAATCATTCAGCCTTTTCAATGCTAAATTTTATGCTAATTCCTTCGTCAAGGCTCTTTGTTCCTCCCACACAGCTTAAAAGCCGTGATCTGAACGTGGCTCTCTCACTCCAGCGCTGTCCTACCAGACAGTCTCGCTCCCTTCACCTGATGAAGGCCGCTTGTGTTGTGGCCGAAACGTCGTGAGAATATTATTGTGTTATTTTATTTTATCAATTTATTATTTTATTCTCATTCTACGTGACTTCACCGAAAGAACCAAAGAAGATGAATCAAGCTTTAAATCGAAATTTAACCGCCTCTACGGGGAGGGATTCCACACATCCTTAAGATCATTCAACAGACTTCGGGATAAGAAGGCTCAACTAATCGAGTCTCTCACCTTTCTGAAGAGATGCCGGGACTCTAAGGTAATACCAACCGCATTTACACTAACCTCTGCTGTTGCAACTTCTCTCAATGCAAAACGAATTCTAGCTAGAACTAGCTTCGCTCTTATCTCGGAAAAAATCAGACTTACACGCACCGAACTCGATCAGTTAGACAAGACACTCTACAAATCACACTTAAAATTGACAGCAACAATGTCTACATCGGATTGGGAACATGTAGACAATATGACTACCTCTTCGGCTGCCACTATGTCGAACAAATGTAGGGACAATTTGATTTCCAAATTCAATCACCTCTCCAGCAAAAAATCGGATCCACACACCGAAAAGATAGACGTCAACAAAGTCGTAATTAATCGCAGTAACAGTTCCATTTCTGATGGTCTGAAATCCGTTTTAGCTAAAGGTCTAAACTTTGCTGTCACACCGAGACACTTACCGGTTAATGATATCATTGCCCATGTCGACGTTGCACTCAAGGGCTTGAGTCACATCTCTGCAGACGTAGCAAGATCTGAAATCGCTGCAACCCTCAAAAACGCTAAGTTGCCACCTAGCAACATCAGCAAAGACGAACGTTTTGAATTATCTCAATTAAAAAAGAGGGATGATATTGTCGTTCTCTCAGCCGACAAAGGCAATGCCACTGTCATCATGGACAAAACAGAATATAACAACAAAATTCAAGAACTACTCAACGATGGCAGCTATACAAAAATAAAAAGAGATCCCACCAACAGCCTGGTCACCAAAACGAACAAAATTATCTCTGATTCAACAGCATTAATTGATGAGAACAAAGAGTTCTTGTTGAAACCCTCTGCTGCCAGACCACCAAGATTATATGGCCTTCCAAAGATACACAAAGAAGATACACCCCTTCGTCCCATCGTCTCTACTATCAGCTCCCCCACCTACAAACTGGCACGTTTTCTGGCTGATATACTGCGACCTTTCACTGGAAAAACCACCTCTGCGGTACTAAATTCTACTCACCTGGTATCGACAATCAAAGACATTTCCCTGTCCCCAAACGACCTGCTTGTCAGTTTTGATGTGGTGTCCTTGTTCACCAAAGTCCCGGTACCTGACACCATCGCTATCATTGAAGACCTGGTTCATCAAGGACTGCATACTGATGTACCCCCCCTGGTGAGACATTGCTTAACCAACACATACTTCACCTGGAATGGAACTTTCTACAAACAAACTGAGGGCACCCCAATGGGCTCCCCCCTATCTCCGGTTGTAGCCAACGTATTCATGGAAAAATTTGAAACTGACGCCATCCAGACTGCCACTCTACGCCCGACCTTATGGAAGAGGTACGTTGATGACACCTTTGTCATCTGGCCACATGGCCAGCCTGCTCTAGACCAATTCCGCGACCACATCAATTCCATACACCCAGCCATCAGATTTACCATGGAGGTCGAAAAAGATGGCAAACTACCCTTTCTGGATGTCTTAATTAAAAGGAGACATGATGGTTCAATGAGCCACTCTGTCTACAGGAAAGCTACCCATACAGATGCTTACTTGAAACCGGATTCCCACCACCATCCATCCCAGAAGAACTGCCTCATCAAGACTCTATACCATAGAGCCCAATGCATTTCCGACCAGGAACACATTACCAGTGAACTCAAGCACGTACACCAGGCTCTCAGGGCTAATGGCTACTCCGACTACACAATCCGCAAAGCCATCACTCCAGTCATGAAGAAGGATCCTCTTGTGGAGCCACTCAAAACCATCACCTTACCCTACATTGCAGGGGTCACTAAAAAGATCTCCAAAATCCTGAATAAACACAAGATCCAGGTCCGATTCAACACAGTACACAAAATCCGTGATTTAGTTCCATCTGTAAAAGATGCTCTTCCAGACATACAGTACCCGGGCGTTTACAAACTAAAGTGCCTCTGTGGTAGTAGCTACATTGGAGAAACCAAAAGACATATCTCGGACCGCATCCGCGAACATAAAGCAGACTTGAAACACGGTAAGACGAACTCCTCTGCCGTGGCAGATCACTGTTACAATTCAGTGGGCTCACATGACATTGACTTCTCCAAGACGGAGGTTCTTTGCAAACCAACTGGCTACCATGAGAGATTCGTTCATGAGGCCATTCACATATACAAGCACAGAGACAATTTCAACCGAGAAGATGGATTCAGGCTTAGTAACCACTGGAAAGATGTGTTAAATCATTTCTGTTCTTAATTAATTGTAATTTTACGATGACCTTCAGACCGCAGCTCTTTCGCCAGCATTGCCTCTTAATACCTCTCACACCACGGTTAATGGTATGGTTTACAACATGGAGTATACTAGGGCTTCGCAGCTGTCTCTCTCCCCCTCCTCTGTTACGACCATGGACGAACTCGTCCGTCTGAACGGGGCCCGTAGCTATCCGTGGTACGGAAATTTGAGGGTAAGAATCCACCCATTTTTTCGCCATATAGCATTGTGATATATAACGACTTATGGTTGGTAGCTTAGCTGATTGGAGAATATAGAGTTTATTGATAACATGAAGGTAATTTATATTTTAGTTTTTATTGGTTCACTATATAGTATATAGTATTCTGTGACCAGTCACCAGCAAATCACCCAGTTATTTCAATGCTAAATTCGCCTAGTTATTTCAATGCTAAATTCTCCTGTTTTGATTTGTACTAAGTGCCTCGGTGAATGTGTATGCTCTGACTTCAACGTAACTATTTCTGTAGCAGTTACAAGCGAATGCCTTAATTTAGCTATTTCAATGCTAAATTCTATGCTAATTCCTTTTAACAATGGGTGCCTCTGCGGATGTGTATGCTTTAACTTTTAACATAGCTATTTCTGTGACCAGTCACAAGCTAATCATTCAGCCTTTTCAATGCTAAATTTTATGCTAATTCCTTCGTCAAGGCTCTTTGTTCCTCCCACACAGCTTAAAAGCCGTGATCTGAACGTGGCTCTCTCACTCCAGCGCTGTCCTACCAGACAGTCTCGCTCCCTTCACCTGATGAAGGCCGCTTGTGTTGTGGCCGAAACGTCGTGAGA